TTATTAAAGTTAACTTTGGCCTTTATGCTTTTGTGACAAAATTAAAAAAAATAATAGTCAACTTCAATATGCATGTTTTAACATGTACATGGGCTTAGTAGTCCCAGTAAATATATCAAGATGTTCTGAAACTCTCAGCATCTTTATTGACAATATTTAAATCTAAATTTATACATCACTATGAAAAACCAAGTTTCTGTTGCAGAAAAACAAAAATACTTCAATGGTAAATCTTTTAATATCAAAATATAGTTATAGTGAGTTAAAATACGATATTGAAATTGTAACCACGAAAAAAGTCACAAAATGTGGAAGCTAGAAAAAATATTTTTATGAAATTTGAACTAATTGAAATATATTTACGACTGGTTTGATTTTTTTTACAGCAAAACCACATTGGGCTATCTGCCGTGTCCATCACAGGGATAGAATCCTGGATGTTAGCGTTATAAGTCCATAGACTTACCGCTGTCTCGTTGGGGAACACAAATTTAAGTAAGATAAGATTGATAAATATATCTCAACTATCGTATATTTGAACAAACGAGTCACGAGCTGAAGTGAAACATCATAAAGTTCGACAGGTAACAGTGCTACCACTAGATGGCGTAACAAAATAATAAGTTAAGATTAAGGTGCAAATTTTAACACAATTTAATACCGAATCTAAATGTAAGTAATTTGATCCTCATTCCCCAAAAGGTCACTGAGAGTTTACACATTTTTTGCTCTTCATTTAAATTCCTATTGTAATTATTTGAATTAAAAAAATTGTGTCAGATCTAGTGTAAAACATTCTTCACAATACTCCTATCAATGTTTCTACACGTTATTCGTAATGCAATTTTTTGTCCCTTCATCGACATTTATAAACATCGCCCTACTTGCTGTAAATGCTTTTACTTTACACGCGCTATTTGTACTGTTAATAGTATCATTCTTAGCAAATGTTTTTATACACACACACTATTTGTACTCTTAATAGGTTTATTCTTAACAATAGACGTTTTAAATAATACTTTCACAGATGTTTTTCACATCGCTATTTATATGTTAATTTGAACATTGTTAAGAGTTTAAATCTTGGCAATACACCAACAAATGTTTTTACACGCTGCTGTTTATCATGCTAATAGATTATTTCTTGACGATACGCCCATTAATGTTTGTATTGTTAACAATTTCTTTATTAACAACTTGCTCACTACTGGAACGAAAGAAACGTTTCCAGTAACTTTTATTGAGGTTCTACAATAGTATAGAGAAAACTTCTATTACAACTATTACAACTACAGTGCGTAGGGGTTTACGAAATAATTGCTATAAAAATGTTTATTCTATTTCTTCTGTGATGTTTTTAATAGTAGCACATTTATTTTAAAAAGAGATCTATTTTGTCAAACCTGAGTACACTTTGGATGACTCATTTTAAGATAAAACCGGAATTTTTTGTTAATTATACCTATGATTCAGTATTTATTAATTTCTTGCCAAGGAATTCAGAAGGAAGCTTTTCTGAATAAAATAAACGTTTGTTTTTTCTCAGATCCTACAAACATCTCAAACGACAAACTATTCTAGAAAGAACATTAACTTTTTATATTTTCTTACAGAACTACAATAGAAATAAAAAAGTAGAAAATAGAAAAGTTAAATAACTTTGTACTTGAATTTCATGAATTCAATATATTGTTACGACAGCGGAAGTCGCGTGACGCTGGAAGCATGGGCGCTGGAGTTTCTAGAAGGATCATGACTGTTCCTGGCAACTCTAGTTATTTCTAGGCGTTCTTTATTTTAGTATATAAGCCCGGCAAATAAAGTGGAGATAATGGCAGATAGACAGAGATGTAGACAGATAATTGAGTCAAGCGAGCGGTAGTGACCGTAAGTAAAGTGCGTGAATCGTTGTGAATTATAGCGTGTGTTAAGTTAAATTGACTGTGGAAATTAAGTGTATTGCAAAGTTGTATTGAGAAAGAATAAACTAGTTTTATTTAAGAAAGAACTTGTATCGCTGAAGTTCCTCGGGAAGAATTTATACCGGAAATTAACAAACGAGCAGATACGTAACAATATGATAAAAATAATCAGGGCCGTAATCAAAATTCCCAGCAGGAATAAGAATCACGGCCTTGATTTAACGTTTTGTTGATTTCAAATTCAAAATGAAATAATTTTCCTATTTCTAAGGGTTTTTTTTCCACTTATTTCCATAATTTTTCTCAAAGGTATAAATTTTTTTGAGCTTTTTTCGGGTAAAGACCACATTCACAAACTCACTATTATAATTGATTATTGGTTCATTGTATTCTAATTTTGAAGTAATAACCTTGAAATATTGTATTATCTAATTTGAAATGTATACTTTATTACATTTATTATTGAAGCCAACAAAAACTTTATTAATAATCAACTCTGCTATACTCTGATTTTTTAGAACTCATTAGAAGAATGGTCAAATTTTATGAATTTAAATTTTGATTAAACTAATTTTTTTTCCTGCTTTTACTAACTTTAATAAAAAAGATAAATTTCAGACTTTTAGATTACTTTGTTATATCATTCATGTTATATTAATTAGAAGTTCATTTTTAATACAAAGAGGTAGATAAAAGAGAGTAACCTTAGAAAATACAAATATGACATTAATTTGTTTATATTTTTCTTCTATTCAATTTCACAAATAGGCGTAGCAAAATGAAAGGCAAAGGCAGGCGAGTCAAACGATGAATAACTTCTAGACACAATCAAGCTAAAAACGTAAAGTAAAACCAAAATAAGAAACACGGTACATAGACGTTAAATATATCTGTTATAACTTAGGAATTTGCTCGTTGTATTGTAGTTATTACATTTCAGTAACACTAAAATCGTTTAAGACATCATATACTTTAATGAAACTAATTCGGCAGTAGTGAACAATATATTTACGTATAATTAAGTAAGTTGATTATTAAATATCATTTGAAAGATTAGTGACTAAAGTTAAAATTAAAATGATATACGACCCCATGCGATTTACATTATTAAACCAGTTAAGAGTATTTAAAATAATTTATTGTCAGTGGATACCCTCGCTGTTTCCGTTAAAATTAATGTTGCTATTAATCAAATTGCTAATTAAATGCTTACATTGTGCTTTTATTATGACGCTCACAATAACGAGAGGTAGATTAACTTGAATGTCATGTTCAAAAATCGACAAAATAATAGTTTGTGTAAACTAATTAATGGCTGTGAAAGTGTTTTGTCTGTTGACATTTAAAATGCATAACTGTAGTAAACAAAGTCTCGTTGTCATTATGAATGTGTTAATAAGATTCAAAATTATATTTTAAATAAATTGTATTCTAAACTTGGAGAATAAAGAATGTAAGAGTTGAGGCTGTGATAAATTGATTAAATAAATCTTGAGAAAACGAGAAATACTACAAAATTACCAATTTAGAACATAGGTTGTGGAACGTGAGATGATGAAAACTAGGATTAGAAATAACTGGTGAAGGGGGTAGTATGTTATAGCACTGATAAAAAATACAGATCAATAACGGAAAATAAGCAGGTTATGCTAGAATTTGGAGAGTAAGATGAAAAAATTGAATACAAATGTTTTTGATGTGAGGAGAAGAAAATATAATGGAACTCAAAAGTTAAAAGAGAGATGAATCTTGAAAAGAATAACGTATAATAAAAATCCGCTAGATTTAGGTTCGAAACCCGCTCAGCCTTACTGTATGAAAAGTTTCGGATAATTCACAACAGTCCTATAGAATTGTGTGTAATATCTAGAAGCAATTTTTCATTTAAAGTTTGTCTGGATACAAACCTACAAAAAATGGCAATACATGAACTTCAAAGGCAAACTTGAGGATCCTTAATTTTCTGTCCTCGTAAGTGAAGCCTGAGTCCTGCTTTATTGAAGCCAAATATATATGGAGTTGGGGCACTGCTCTTATTAACCGAATGGCAGGTTACGTTTATAGTGTGTTTTTTGTTATTTTTGAATTTCGCGCAAAGCTACACGAGGACTATTTGCGCTAGCCTTCCCTAATTTAGCAGTGAAAGACTAGAGAGAAGACAGCTAGTTATCACCACCCACCGCCAACTCTTGGGCTACTATTTTACCAACTAATAGTGGGATTGACCGTCATATTATAACGCCCCCATGGCTGAAAGGGCGAGTATGTTTGGGCGGACAATTAACATTAGCGTTCAAATATTACAGATTTTATTGTTAATCACTAGTGCTATATTCTGGGCAATTAACATTAGCGTTCAAATATTACAGATTTTATTGTTAATCACTAGTGCTATATTCTGGGCAATTAACATTAGCGTTCAAATATTACAGATTTTATTGTTAATCAAAATGTTTCACAAGTCATGATGAACTCGATGCTAAGTAAATGATTAAACAAATAAATTTGTACCGAACAAAGCAACTCGCATCATCAAGTGGAGTGAAGTAATCTACAAGTAACTTTAAACGTTTTTAATATTATTATTCATTGTTGTTGTTTATTAATTCTAAACTCTCGATTTCAATAATATAAATTCTTCGGTATTTTTTTATATCATTTTTCTTTACATCATTTACATAACACGTTTATCACAGTGCTACCTTTAAAACGTGAAATAAATAGAAAATCGAACAACTAACAAAGATACCATGAAACAAATCTCCATATTTGCAGTCTTCAAATTTTGGTTAAACTAGTTGTATTCTTTCTTTCATAAACTATTAAAAATTGTCCTACAGTAAGGGGAATATTCCGTAACTTCTGTGAACATCGCATTTTAAATATCACCTCTCGCTTAGAATATTGCGGTGTGGTGGCGTTTCTTTTAAAAACATTTTAACTTAAACAAATCCCATAAAAAGTAAAGGTGAATTATCCAAATAATTGCTAAAACTTTTATGTGATATTTCAAATGTACTAACCACGAATTTTCCACAAATAGGCCTACAACGACTTGATTTTTTTATTTATTTTTAGGTACCACATTACATTCTGAAAGTGGAGTACCGGTTGAATAAAAGATATCAATTCCAAAAACTATTTTTTCGATATGAAAAAAATCATATTTTCCTTAGTAATAACAGGTAAGAGAAACACAAAAGTGAGAAATATTTTGTTTTCGTATATTTTTGTTGTTTTTTTAATTCTTCTTAAAGTGCTGGCCTTCGATATCAACAAATGAAGAAAGTGAAACATGTTTTAAGCAATTTCTAACGATTATTTTGTTTGAAAAAACTACCGTAAAGACGTCATGGAAAAATATAATGAATGCCATATGTGATATATACTCTAATGTATGTGGTTTATATAGGTGGCACGCATGTATAGGACTCTGGTGCATCGTAAATAAAACTATGCTTTTTTCAACCAGAACACGAAAGTTAGCAACAGTAAATCTCGCGCTGAAATAAATATTGAATTTGAATTTTCCTATTCCATTCTCATTTACTTTTCTGTTTAGAAATATGCTATCTGAACAGAGCTTGCTCTCTGAAAGTGCATTTCTTTTATACATGTTCTTGTTAGCTTTTGTCACCCTCTTTAATACTTTGACGATTCCATTTACATGTCAGACGAAACGGTTTTGAACTTGTGGAGTATATGGGTTACGGTTTAAAACACCGAGTTACTGTTTCTTGCTTATTTAATGAAAACTCAATTTAAACCTTACGTTTTTAAAATGTTCGCCAATTTTATAGGTTTCTACAAGAATCACTCAAAATAAATGGAATAATACTCATGTCAAGCCATTATGATTCGGGAGACATACGATTTTGACAGGTAAATTAAATTCCAAATACCATCAATAATTCTATGTGAAATTGACAAAGCTAGAAAAACTTCACACGTGGCTGAAATTTTTGTCAATAAAAAAGAAAAACATGCCCAATCTCCTTTTTGTAAATCTTTTAAAGAAGAAGTTCAAAATACAACATATAATAGACTTCCCTTCAAAGTAACAATTCTAAAACTTTTAGAGCTGTTTCTATCTAGCATTAAGGATACAGCTTCAATGTTTTCAACAGACGTAAATCTTTCTATAACGTTTATCTGGTTGTCTATATACATATTGCTTTTTATCTATACTAAATTGTCGAAATTCTCACTTTCTACTGCTTCCACATATGTTAATACACTAGCATATGTCTCAGAAATAAATATTTCATCGTATTAACTGCATTATATACAAATAGCTTATTCAAATTTACCTACCAATTCTGTTTTTTTTTTTTAAGTATAACCTTTAGAGAAAGCACATAAACCCGGATAATGGTCGTTTGTAAGAAAAATAGCTATCACAAATCTTTAAGAAAAATACAAGTCTTGTTTTAAACTTTATTTAGCTTAGTCTGAAATGGATTCCAGGCTGTTCACTTTTAATGATATCAAGTACACAACGTTATATCCTGATGATTAGCAAAGTACTTTATGAGGTTAATTAGTGAGAGATGACGTAGTGTCGTGAAACTAATAATAGCAGTCACTTCACTTACTTGTTTCTTCCTTTATCAACTGAATAGAAATATACATATGAGTTTTATTACAGCCCCGTTTTCATTTCTTTTTATATTTACGATTAATGTAAGGTCGACGATATGTCATCGAATTAATACTCACTGCCTTGGTGTTTGTCGTAATAAACTCAAAGGGTTGATATACACAACTAGGAACATATAACATTTTCTTATTTACCTAACCGTATATCTTATGAATAGATGAACAGCAACATGAGATTACTCAATAGCACGAAGGCCGCTACAATAATGTTAAATATGTGAAAAACAACTGTTTGTGATTATAAGATAGTACTTCCTCCAGATTCTTTATTTAAAACCGTTATTTTAGTACGAAAGGTAAAAACACTTATATTCTGTTGTTCTTTTTTTCAGGCATTGTTAGGAAATATGTAATACAGATTTTTTAAGGAAAATGTAATTTTGATTTTCAGGTTTGCTGTCAGTATGTAAAGGGAACAGGGTGAGTAAAATCCTTATTTATTGAGTTATTTTTATAATTTCATCCCCATTTTCAGAACTTAGCTTCTTGGAATTTAAAGAGTAGATTTTGTCATCAAAATCATATGTAATTATCACAGCAGAGAAATAAGAATTTTGACATCTTGCTTAAGAAAATGTATTGATGCTCGATATTGTGAGGTTGCATGTTCACTATCTCGTGTTTTAAAATGTGTGGATTTTTCTGTTGAGTTGTTGTTTATGAAAATTTATTGCTGCTTAATATTACTAGGCTGCATGCTCATCGTTTCGTATTATAATTTGTGTTGTGAGTTTTATATTATTCAACATAATCTTAGCTTTAAAATGAATTATAACAATTTAATACTGTTTACGAACTGTTAGATATTTTTGATAATTTTGCTCTGTTTTCTTTTTGTTTTTGCCCAACAATGTTACTTTTGCATTAAAAAGTAGTAGCTAATACTATGCATAGGCACTTACTACAAGTGTTCAGAAAGAAATGTGATATTACTTACTGTAGGCAAAGTATATTATATAACAACCAACAAACAGATAAGAAAGGTCTCTAAGAACGTGAGCAACCAAACACTATTTCTGTAGGCCAACCATATCGTATAACAGCCAAAAGTTACTTCCTGTAGGCCAACCATATCAGATAACAGCCAACAAGCAGGTACAAGAGTTGCTAAAGATGTGAACAGCCAAACAATACTTCCTGCAGGCCAACCAGATCAGAGAACAGCCAACAAACAGGTACAAGAGGTGCTGAAGATGTGAACAGCCAAACAATACTTCCTGTAGGCCAACCATATCAGATAACAGCCAAACATTACTTCCTGTAAGCCAACCATATCAGAGAACAGCCAACAAACAGGTACAAGAGGTGCTGAAGATGTGAACAGCCAAACAATACTTCCTGTAGGCCAACCATATCAGATAACAGCCAACAAACAGGTACAAGAGGTGCTGAAGATCTGAACAGCCAAACAATACTTCCTGTAGGCCATCCATATCAGAGAACAGCCAACAAACAGGTACAAGAGGTGCTGAAGATGTGAACAGCCAAACAATACTTCTTGTAGGCCATCCATATCAGATAACAGCCAACAAACAGGTACAAGAGTTCCTGAAGATGTGAGCAGCCAAACATTATTTTTCAACGCAGTCTTATTTAAGGACTATACGCAGTATGCGGAAGAACTATTCATCAGAACTCCTTCTTCTTAATAGTATTCATAGCACGATCATTAGAGGACGTGGCTTTCTTACGCTGCAGAATAGTACATTTTAGCAACAGACCCGTTTACATAATCATTCATAGATCGGAATTTGTCTCATCCGTATGTCAACGGTTATTTTACGAATTTAAAACGCTAAAATCCTGGGCTTAGATTCCTAGCAATGGACAAAGCGCAGATAATCTATTGTGTAGCTTTGCAATAACTCAGCAACAGATTGGAATTTACTGATATCTAAAGTAAGGAAAACAAAGTCATGTTTTTTTCTAAACAAAATTTTCGTATGCGGCAGCTAATGTTTTCAACTCCTCGTGTTCTGCGTCCTTTCGTTCCCCGATGGTGACAGCGGTACGTTTACGGACTCACAACACTCAACTCCCTGTAGTGGAAACAGGGAGTTGAGTCCGATATGGCTTTGCTTTAAAACAAACAAACTACCCACTTTAAGTTTGACGTATCGTACTGTTCTTCTTCTTGATGATTAAAATCAATTCATAGTGTGTTGTTTTTAATTATCAGGAAACGTTTGATTTGACTTGTAACCTACATTCAATAGTTTGTTAGACTGACATTTTACATGTAGCTACACAATGTCTCTCCCATTTCCGATAAAGTTTCATGTTCTTTTTTTTTCCCTTGAATAAACATTACCATGCTAATGTAAATCCTCAAGAAGATACTGATAAATCCGAGTTTGTTTTTATTTTCTACTATAAAGGCAAATAAATATATTTTAACCGTGAAAAACTAGATTCACGAGATTCAACTAATAAGCTAGTACCTAAATTTGGTTTAAAAAAATAGGTAGGTTAGTTGTTCATTTGAACTTTCCGTAAAGCAAATCAAGGGCTATCTGCGCTAGCCGTTCCTAATTTAGAAGTGATAGCTAGTCAACACCACCCACTGCCAGCGATTGGACAACGAAAAGTTGGATTAATCCTCACATTATAATTCCCCCCAAGGCTGAGAAGAGAATGTTAGATGATGAGATTTAAACTCTTGGCTCGAAGATTGCGTGTCGACTGCCCAAACCATCAAATCGTACCAGACAAAACAAATAGATAAACTGTAAATATATATTATGGATAAAGATTATAGACAGATAACTAGAAAAGACCGAAACCTTGGAGATGCTGTTAATAGACCATATGCTAGTTTCTTAAATATTTACGTTCGCTGTGTCGTTCTGATAAGCAACAATATTTATTTGTTACTGCTAATGTTTTTTTGTTTTTTTTTGGTATTTACAATAGGTCAAGCGGTGGGATGAAGATGGCAGCGGTGATAAAATGGGAGTCCGTGGTCAGCCCGGAGTTGACTATCCGGACTACAGGGAGATTCCTGAGACGTCGTTTTCATGTAAAGATAAGTTGTATACAGGATTATACGCAGACGTCGAGACACGGTGTCAGGTGAGTAATAACCGCTAGATGTGTACAGTTTCAGGTGAGTAATAACCGCTAGATGTGTACAGTTTCAGGTGAGTAATAACCGCTAGATGTGTACAGTTTCAGGTGAGTAATAACCGCTAGATGTGTACAGTTTCAGGTGAGTAATAACCGCTAAATGTGTACAACTTCAGGTGAGTAAAGACCACTAGATGTGTACAGTGTCATGTGAGTAAAGACCGTTAGATGGGTAAAGTGTCAGACAAGTAAAGGCAAACACATAGATGTGTCCGCTTTCAGTTTGTTTGTAGTTGAGCGCAGCACAGAAATTGAAGCTTGCAGACTTACTACTGTGTCACTAGGAGGCTACGGTGTCAGACGAGTAAAATAAAACTTATAGATATAGACAATGTCAGATGAGAGAAACTAAACATACAGATGTGTACACATTTCACGGATGAAACTATACATATAGATGTGTACACTGTTAGACGGATGAAACTAACACGTAGATGTGTACACTGTTAGACGGATGAAACTAAACATATAGATGTGTACACTGTTAGACGGATGAAACTAAACATATAGATGTGTACACTGTTAGACGGATGAAACTAAACATATAGATGTGTACACTGTTAGACGGATGAAACTAAATATATAGATGTGTACACTGTTAGACGGATGAAACTAAACATATAGATGTGTATAGTATCAGATGAGTAAAATGAATAATACAGATGTGTGAAATGTCAGGTGAGTGAAATGAAACATATAGATGTTCATAGTGCTGGACGAGGGAAACTAAACATATAGATGTGTCAGTCAGTGTCAGGTGAGTAAAATAAAACATATATACAGTATCATACAAATAAAATAAAACATATAGACGCACACAGTGTTAGGTGAGTAAATAAAAAAATAGTTGCATAGTCTCAAGCCATTATTGGAAACTTATGTATAATTAATTTCCGTTCGTGTATATTTTGTTGAAGTCTGTTTTAGCAGCATAAGCAATCTTCTTTTTTGTGATAAACTTTAAAATTATATATAAATTATCCTAAATTAAGATAATAAACAGAAAAAATAAAAATGTTAGGTACTTTGAACAACATTTTCTGCTAAAGATTTTTTCAAAATCATAAGCTGGGGTGAGTTCATGTCGTTTCATAAAAAAGGCTAGCCTTCGCTATAAATAAGCAAAAACATAAGGCTCCCAATATCAAATCATGAAAGTACTAAAACATAAATAATAAATATTGAAGTCTTTTTTTTGTTGTTGTTTTAGACTGGCAGCAACAAAAACAAAAGCGTCTTTGTGTACGTTCCATGCTATGAATGCTTTCATTTCAGTCGGTTTTCCAGTAGAAACTTCCTTAACATCCTTGTAAATTGTTGTTTCCGTTTTATAAAAGTTCAAATGAGTTAATTTATTTTCCAACAGCTGAACGAGTGTCACCTAAAACAGTGTAGACAAAGAGCACTAACAACAAATAGCGGAACTGCGTCCATGAATATGGACTATCTCGTGTTTACACTGCACAGAAACGCATGAACAAACATACATAAATTATAATGTAGCCTCCTAATTAGGAGAGAAGAATGTAAGCCTAATTTTGTTGGTTTAAAGGCTGGCTTCATATTTGTAATCTCTAATAAACCATCTCGAATATTCAATAAGAAATGTAGTTTTAAGGACTGTGAAAACTGAAATAATAAAGAACAGATAAAGCACAATCTAAGCAAACTTAAATGTAGAACGATGAACTCGTCCTATTTTCTATCCGCCTCGAGGCATTTCGTGTTTTCAAGAGACAAAGGTTAGTGGGTAGACTAGTTATGTCTAGAAAGATCTAAATATTTTATACACTCTAAGTGAACAAACATCAACGTTAGAAAGCCAGAAAGGATAGCAAAAAATCTGTTGGTTTTTAACTTTGGTCCTAGTTTTATTGTGTGACCGTCAGCCCTTTTCAGCACAGTAGAAATGCATATGATACCCATTTCTCCCCTCCTAAAAAAAATTAAGATGGGAGATGCTTTTATGAAATTTATGAAACACGTTTTTAAATACCGAAAAGTAGTTGGGTCAATGTTAAAAAATGTCTTTTTCTTATTTAAGGTTTACCACGTGTGTTACCCCAAGAACAGAATGGCCAAGTTCATGTGTACTAGTGGCACTGTCTTTAATCAGAAAATCCTGGCTTGTGATTACTGGTTCAGCGTTGAGTGTGAGGATTCACCCAATTATTATTACTTAAACTCCAAAATTGGAAATGCCTCATTGCAGTTGCATACCGAAGATCGGGTGGAGCTTCAACAACTTCAACCTGGTTTACAGCCACAACCACAACGACAGTCTGGTTCACAGCCTGGATACAAGCCTCGGCCAGAATCACAGTCACAACAACAGTTGTTCACAGTCTGGATACAACCCCGACCTGGATCAAAGCCACAACAACAGCCTGGTTCACAGTCTGGATACAAGCCTCGGCCTGGATCACGGCCACAACAACAGCTTGGTTCACAGTCTGGATACAAACCTCGGCCTGGATCACAGCCACAAAAACAGCTTGGTTCACAGTCTGGCTACAAGCCCCAGCCTGGATCACATCCACAGTCACAGCCACAACAACAACCTGGTTCACAGTTTGACTACAAGCCCCAGTCTGGACCACAGCCACAACAACAGTTTGGTTCACAGTCTGGATACAAACCTCGGCCTGGATCACACCCTCAAAAACAGCTTGGTTCACAGTCTGGCTACAAGCCCCGGCCTGGATCACATCCACAGTCACAGCCACAACAACAACCTGGTTCACAGTCTGGATATAAGCCCCGGCCTGGATCACAGCCACAACAACAGCATGGTTCACAGTTTGACTACAAGCCCCGGCCTGGATTACAGCCACAACAACAGCCTGGTTCACAGTCTGGCTACAAGCCCCGGCCTGGCTCACAGCCACAAAACCAACCTAGCTACAAACCTCAGCCTGACTCACATCCACAACACCAACCTGGTTCACAGTATGTTTACACACCCCAGCCTGATTCTCACCAACATAAACAGTCTGGCTACAAGCTTCAAACTGGGTCTCTGTCACAAAAACAGCCTGGCTCACAGTCTGGTTATCAGCCACTGCTTGACTCTCGGCCACAACAACAAAGTGACTACCAATCACAGCTTCGCACTCAGCCTCAACGACAAATTCAGTTTGGCTTCAATCAACCTGACTTACCGCAAACATCTTTTAGGCCTAACCCATGGATGTTTCCAGGAGGAATGATGATGATGGGTGGACCAGGTGACCGCTAGAGACGTTTTATAGAAGTTAAGCCATCTTGTTTTTGTCGATTGGAATTAGGGTTAGGGAACAAACGGATAGATGGTTTTGCTGTCCAGGGACGTAAACTTGTTTCCAGTATAATTTCTCTAAGCTATTTTATCCTTCGGGGAAGGTAAATGTGATTATGATTTTTAACAAATTACTATAATAAAGCTGTCTTTTACAAACTCTGACAATTTTTCATTTTTAAAAACGTTATTAGTACAACAGAATTATGTCACTTATGGTATTTACTCAGATTCAGACAAATTGTCGTGTGGTTTACTGATCGTTGTTTTTTGCAAGGAAAGTACTAGGGTATGAAAATACTACAAATTATTATTTTAAAACCATTACCGTGCCTTTTAAAATATTAACTAGTTCAAAGTCGATATATAAAATCTTTTCCACTAAGTTTGTTTGTTTTGTTGAATTTCGCGTATATTTACTCGAAGGCTATCTGTGCTTTCCTTCCCTAGTTTAGAAGTGATAGATCAGAGGGAAGACAGCTAGTCAACACCACTCACTACTCTTTAGCAATGAAAAGTGGAATTGACCATCACATTATAAAATCCCCCTGGCCTAAAAAGGCGAGTATATTCGGTGATACATCTATTGAATGTTACATAAATATACTCAGTGGTTAAAGTGTAGATCTGGAGCAGAGGTGGGGGAGAGGGGGGGAAGAGTCTAGCCCACAAGGTAATTTCTCTTAGAAAACTTTAAAAACCAACTATCCAGTGCAGCGTTATATTAAGTATATATTGTATATTACAGAATACAAGTAACCATCAGTTTTGACAACAGCTATGTTTGGACGACTTTGCGTGGTATGGTTAAAGGTTCGACACGTCCATCACTCCCAGATCCACCTCACTGTAGATAGCCGCAATTTCAAAGTTGCCTGGTAAAGACCAGTTTTCTCGTGTAATTGTATTCTCCTCATTGTAGTTCCTCTTTAAATTATCTTTTAATATTGTTACTGCCACTTTTAGCCCCTGTTCTGTATACCTAGCGATTCACTTGGCGATTTTTCTTAGCCTCACTTTAACCACTGCACATACTATTCATATCAGCAAATATGTTTGAAGAAACTACAGAAAGCGCGAAAAGCCTTAAAACGATAATCTCATCTCAGTATTATCTCATGTAGCAATTTAAGTATGACTAATATTCTAATTTAAGTGTGAGGAATATTATCTCATGCAGCAATTTAAGTATGAGTAATGTGCTAATTTAATTATGAGGAATATTGTCTCATGCACTAATTTAAGAATAACAAGTATTATTTCATATACTAATTTAAGTACGACAAATATTAACTCATGGATTTAGATAAGAAAACAATCCTCATGCTCCAATCTGGTTATGACAATATTATCTCTTGCAGTAATTTAAGTATGAGTAATGGGCTAATTTAATTGTGAGGAATATTATCTCTTGCACTAATTTAGCTATGCTAAATTATCTTTTTCACTAAGTTAACAAGGCGTGAAGCTATCTCATGCACTAATTTAGTTATAACCAACAATATCTTATGCAATAATTTAGCTATGAAGACATATCGCTTGCACTAATTTAGCTCTAGCGAACGCTACTTTAGGCATTAAATTTACTAAGACAAACATACATGGTGCACTAATTGAACTATGGCGAAAATATATCTTGGACTAACTTAACTATAGCAAAAACTACGTTTACTAATTATATAGTCACGGATTATTCACACATAAAGTTTTCTCTGTGCTTAGTATACATTATTAACGAATAGTTTTAGCTTTTAAATAGGAAACGCTATGTTTCTGTCATGTTTCTGACAAATCACAAAGTTGAAAAGATATTTGATATTATTCACTGAATTCTTAAACACTAATTATGCATAAATACTGATATGTGTAAATACGTTTATCAAACAATATATTAAATCAAATGTGAAGTTTGGAAAGATTTTCGCATGTATGTGTTATCTAGAACGTGACACTGCATGGTAAGCATTAGTAAAGTTACAAATAACCAATAAGTAAAATAACTTTACTTTTACAATCTTATAAGCAGATAATGTTTAAATTGAATAACCTACAAGATGGCGTTATAATCACATGTGTGACACCTGTAGACTTTTTTTTTTTTTGAATTGAGCACAAAGCTACACAATGGGCTATCTGTGC